AAAAAAAATTTCCTTTTTTCTTTACTTCTCTTTTTCTTCCTTTTTTTAAACTGCCTTTCCCATCACCCATGTTAGCAGATGTCTACTTGTGTGCCATTGAGTTGGTTCTGACTCACAGCAACCCAGCTCTAAATCTTTACGGTTGCAGGAAGTCTCATCTTTGTTCTGCTGAGTGTGGCTAATAGATTCAAACTGCCGACTTTGCAGTTAGCAGCCTAACTAGTAATCCACTGTGCTACCAGCACTCCAACACTACCTGTGAATAATCCTCCCTTCCCTCCTGTCCCTGGTAATCACCATAGAAAGTTTATCGTAGAATGAAAACCTTTTCTTGACTTTCACAGCAGTAGTCTTATGCAATATCTGTCCCCTTGCAATCGACTAATTTCACTCAGCATAATATCCTCCATGTTATATGGTGTTTTGCAGATTTATTGTTATTCTCCAGTGTTGTATAATATTCCATTGTTTATATGTACCAAAGTTTGTTCAGCCATTCTGCTGATGGGCATCTAGGCTGTCTCCATCTTTTTGCTACAGAGAATAGTGCTACAATGTCCTGGGCCTTTTGTTGTTGATGATGTTGATAATGTACACAGTAGAACCTTCAATAATTTCTACATGTCCCATTCAGTGATATTGATTACATCCTTCAAGTTAAGCAACTATTCTCACCCTCCTTTTCTGAGCTGTTTCACTTTCATTAACATAAATTCATTGCTCCCTAAGTTTCCTATCTAATCTTTCTGGTTGCTGTTCTCAGTTTGATCCCACATGGATAATTCTCATGATACTTATAGCTGACATTGTTTACTACTTAAGCTAAACCATTGTTTGAAAGAAGCTTTCTAGGGGTATTTTTGGTTTAAGGTTCCTCTTGGCCTCTTACACAATGAGAGTGGATGAAGGAGGCCTTTGGTTCCCTTTCATCCACACGTTGAGGTGACCAATGGCCTGATTCTGTGTTCTTGGTCAGGTGGAAGACCAGATTAGTAGGAATGACTTTTCTTTGGCTCTTGGGCCTCCCACTCTAGGGCTCAGGGACCGAATCCGAATGTATAATTTGAATCACAAGAACGTACTACAGGGCATAAGGAGCCAACGGCTATACATCCTCTTCCCATTGGACTGTGGAGTGCCCAATGACCTGAGTGTGGTTGACCCCAACATTCGCTTTTTGCATCAACTGCCTGTGCATAGCGCTGACTGTGCTGGCATCAAGGGCCGGGTTTATACCAACAGTGTCTACGAGCTTCTGGAGCATGGACAGCAAGTAAGTATGCAGCAGCCACACACTGATGAAAATTCACTGCCTGCCTGGAAGCCTTATTTTCCCAACTAGTCACAGGTCTCGGCAAGTTTCAGGTAAGAATGATACGATAATGATATGTAGCGTTTATCGAGCACTTACTACATGCCAGACACTATTTTAAATGCTTCCATATGACCACCTCATTGAATCCTCATTGCCACCCGGTGGAGTAGTAGGAACTGTGTGATCCCCACGTTACAGGTGCAGAAATTCAGATTTAGAGAGGCTGCCAGAAAGGAAACAATTGTCATCTGAGCATAGGCTCTGACCCATAAAGCTGCTCTACCTGAAGGCTATGAGAATGTCTAAGGGATTTCCCGTGTGTGAGATGAACTCAGAGTACAGCTCCCAAACTTGATTTCCACCTGGAGCTCTGTAGACCTTCCCTGGGGTCTTAGAAGGAAGATCTAGGATGTGTGTATTCAGCCTAGTCCTGGACCTAATTTTGGGAGGGGGCATGGCAAAGGCAAAGGCAGACTAGACAGCAGAGACCTCCTCAGAACAGCCACCTCCCAGGACCCCATCACTGCATACTGAGAGAGTGGGATCTAGGGGTTGTCTACCTAGCCCCTGGCTTAGTCTGGTTTTCCTCTCCCCTCCTCCAGGCAGGCGTCTGTGTCCTGGAGTATGCAACCCCTTTGAAGACACTGTTTGCCATGTCACAGGATGGCCGAGCTGGCTTTAGCCGGGAGAATCGGCTTGAGCAGGCCAAACTCTTCTGCCGGACACTTGAGGACATCCTGGCTGATGCCCCCGAGTTCCAGAACAACTGCCGCTTCATTGTCTACCAGGGTGAGAGGCTGGTAGGCTGGAGGGCAGGAGTCAGGGGTCCCAGAGCTCCCCAAGGAGTCAGAAGGAGATATGGCATTACCTTGACCCAGGCCTTTCCAAGTGGTCAGGGCATTTCCCCTTTCTCCTCTGGAAGAGGTCTCTACTTCCTGACCAGGGACACTTGATTGCTTTCTGAATTCTTTGGTCATGGATCTTGGATAAAACTTGCAGAGTTGGGTTCTAGGAGTCCTTCATTTCATCTAAGGATGCCACAGGAAGAATAAGAGCCATTAGCCAGGGTGTACAGAGAACAAGTGTAGGAGCCAGGAGACTGGGGCTATAGCCTCAACTCTGCCACTCCCTCACTGTATGACCTTGGACAGATCTCTGTTCATCTCAGCATCATCTCTAAAAGTGATAGGGTGGAATTCCATTATTTCTGAAACCATGTCTAGCTCTAGATTCCATGATATTCTAGCTCCAGTGACTGGAGAGGGGACTAGGAATGGAGAATGTCTTCCCAGCAAGTTCCCTGGATGTATGGATGCTAATGGAAAAATGAGAGGTTCTCACCTTGCTCTCCCCACATCCCCCTTCCAGAGTCTGCAGAGGAAGGCAGCTTCTCAATATCCCAGGAAATTCTCCGGCACCTGCGGCAGGAGGAAAAGGAAGAGGTTACTGTGGGGAACTCAGTTTTGCCCAGTCCCTCCTTGCCTAGTACCTCCTCACTGTCCCAAGAGCCCAGGTTCCTCATTAGTGACATAGAACAACCTCTCCCACTCCGCACGGATGTCTTCTGAGAGCCAGTCACCTAGCCTGAGCCTCAAGCAATCCCAAGATTCTGGATTGAGGATTCTCTTCAGCAGCTGATGGTCCAGCAGAGCCATTTCCCCCTCCTGGGGTTATGCAGAGAAGAGCTCCAAAAATTATCCCTATGACCTTGTGAAAATCTTTTCACCTCTCTGAACCTCAGCATCTTCATGTATGAAATGGGGTTGCCCTTCCTACCTCACTAGGTTGTTGTGAGGGCTTTGTATGAACATTTTTGGTAAACTCTAAATACTAGGTAAACTAAGAGATGTGGCAGGTGTCTTCCATTTGACCCTCTAGACGTACCCTCCACCTGTCTCTAGCTTCTCAGGTCCAGAATATTGACCTATCTGGACAGCATCAATGGGTTTCCTTGCCCTCTGACATCTGGATAGAAGGAGGAGGAGGAGGTTGAGGGGTTTTTACAGGCTCCCTGCCTGCAGTATCAAGGTCACTGTGAGTTCTCTGCATTCTGAACCCAAAATCATAGCTCTTGTTTGGGAACTATTTCCATAATTCTGCCTCCAGGTTCCAGTAATGGCTTCCTCTTATTCTTTCAGGCTTTTTGCTGTTGTTGTTGAGTGCCATCAAGTCAGTTCTGACTCATAGTGACCAGTATAGGGTTTCCAAGTAGCAGCTGGTGAGTTTGAACTGCTGACCTTGTGGCTCAAACCAACCTTGTAGTCCAGTGCTTTTCCCACAGTGCCACACCAAGATTTAGGGGCGATGTTTGTCCTCATGTGGTTCATCATGGAATGCTCATCTCCCCTTGGTTTCCTTACTCTCTGCTCTTTCTAAGTAATCTGTTTCTTAAATCCTCCTCAGATTAGCCAATGTGAGTGTGTCTTCTTTTTCCTGCTTGGGCTTCTGATTGATACAAGAGATTGACAGTTACTATAAGGTGGAGGGCCAGAGAAAAAGAGGAAGACCCCCAACAAGATGGATTGGCCAAGTGGCAGCATCGATGGACAATAGTAGTGAGGTTGGCCCAGGATTGGGCAGTGTTTCATTCTGCTGTGCATAAGGTTGCTATGACTTGATGGCACCTAACAACAACAACAACATACCCAATATCCAAATATACTTGTACATATATGTTTGTTACTGTTGTCAAGTTTTGTCGAGTCTGTTCTGACTCATAATGACTCTGTGTAGGGTTTCCAAGGAGCAGCTGGTGGGTTTGAACTACTGACCTTGTGGTTCAAATCGACCTTGTGGTCCAGTACATTATCCTGCAACACCACACAGGACTCCACATGCTTCCTTACACTCCTCCTTATCCTAGTGCAGGCCAGTGGTGACTGCCATTCAGTGTGGACAGATCCACCAGTTGGAATGAAGACTTTAAGGACTGGGCCAGAACCAGAACAGCAGATACCATGAGGGATACACAGCTGTGTCCTGGGCAAAAGGTTGCTCAAAGGAGCAGGGATCACTGAAGGTATGTCCCCAGAAAAGAGTCAGCAAAGGGATAGGGGAAAGCAGGGGACTTGTGTAAGAGATGTCACATATCCCAGGGAACTCAAGACAACACAGCCAGCCACCATACCATACCTAAGTCATTCTTGATAAAAATCAGCCATTGCAAAAACACTGTGGTGCAGAGTAGACAAGGATGGGCAACTTGGACATTGGCTATCCAAAATGGAGGGTCTACAAAGGCAAGAAGTGATTGGCTTATAAGCTTTTAAGAGGGAACCTAGATCCAGAGGGCATGGAGGAAGGTAGACTCTCCACTGAGTAGAATCCACTCTGTCTAGGCGGGGCTGATGAAAGGAAATGCAGATAGGTCTCTTGTGATACAATAGTGAATAATTGTTATCAGGACTGATTGTGAGGGTTGTAAATGTAAAAGTAGACATTATGTAGCAAGGAGGGAATGATTAACTTTGCAGTCTAGGGGCGGAGGTCCCTGGGACCATGAAGGGAGAAGAGCAGAGAGTGGGACCTTACCCAGAGAAGCAGTGATGGAGATGGAGGCAGAGAAGATGAAGTGGAGAGATGGAGTAGCTGGGGACTTTAGAC